TAGTCTAAACACATCCTTGATATGGTAGCAACCGGACCGAAATTCTGGAATCCAGCGACCCTAATTCCTGTGTGTATCCCGGAAACCTCACTGAACAGCAGTGTGGAGAAAGCAAATAAGGAAAAGTTATTGTCTTGTTTCCATAACACCAAAACGAGGGGTCTTCAAATTAAATGAACAGGTAGCAGGTTCAAAACAAATAAAATAAAGTTTTTCTTCACTCGGCACACAGTCAGCCTGTGGAACTCCTTGCCTGAGGAGGTTGTGAAGGCTAGAACTATTGAGGGTATGTCTACACTACAAAGTTAGTTCGAACTAACGGACATTAGTTCGAACTAACTTTCATAGGCGCTACAATAGCGCTCCATTAGTTCGAATTTAATTCGAACTAACGGAGCGCTTAGTTCGAACTAGGAAAACCTCATTCAAAAGTGATGACTGGCGGGGGGGAGGGAAGGTCTATGAAATCATGAGATCATGAGTAGTGTGGAGAAAGCAAATAAGGAAAAGTTATTGACTTGTTTCCATAACACAAAAACCAGGGGTCATCAAAAACCAGGTAGCAGGTTTAAAAGGTTTTCTTCATCCCACACAGAATCAACCTGTGGAACTCCTCGCCAGAGGATGTTGTGAAAACCAGCATTGTAACAGAGTTAAAAAAAGAGATAGATACATTTGTGGAGGATAGGTCCATCGATGGCTATTAGCCAGCATGGGCAGGGATGGTTTCCCTAGCATCTCAATTGGTGATTCCCTGTTATGTTCAGTCCTTGGGGCATCAGGTATTGGATGCTGTCGGCAGACAGAATATTGGGCTAGCCGGACCTTTGGTCTGACACAGTGTGACCTTTCTTATAGTCTTATGCCAAGTCCCCAAGAGTTTCCATTGGTGGTGCACATTCACACATGTCTCGGTGCATGAAAAAAAATATTCCGCACGTGGATGGGAGAAAAATCTGCACATGGCTGGGAAAGATTAGAGTGGTGAGAAGGGGAGGGCTGGAAAAAGGGAGGGGGAGACCAGCACGTACTACGGAAGGAGACACACCCCCTAAACTACGGCACAATTTAGCGCCTTTTTTCAGGCCTGTTCAGGTACTTCCCTTTATACAATGGACTAATAAACATACCAACTGCAGAACGCCTCGGTAAAGTTCCTCGGCAGATTTGCCTCTCTCGCCGTCGGCCAGAGTGTAGTTCAGGATGTCTGGTTTCCGCCGGACGGTCCCGGCTTTCGTCCTGACCCCGTTAACCATAACCCAGGCGTTGTCGTCCGTCTGAGAGAACTTGTTCAGTCTGAGCTTGAACTGCCTCACAAATTCCCGAACAATTCTGCCGAAAAAGAAAGGGGCGAGACGGGCGAAAGGGGAGAGCCAACAGTAAGTACACTCATTATGCGCTCAATGGGCTAACCCAATAATTACGCAATCTGTATTTATGTCTCTCATTCCTGGACTGAACTTCCCTTACTTCATGAATATTCATAAGCTGCAGGGGGAAGTTGAGTTAGTCTGCACAGGATCAACTTTAAAAACACGAAATAGTCCGGTGGCACTTTATAGACCAACAAAACACGTCGATGGGATCAGGAGCTTTTGTGGGCAAAACCTACTTCTTCAGACAATCGGAGTGTTAGAAGTCCAGTTCCAAGAATATAAAAGGGATCGGGGGGAGGGGGCGGCGAAGGGAAAAACGGGGGATAAAAAAAGAGAGAGAGTGAGTAGATAAGCTTCAGAGAGGGAGCCTCGTTAGTTTGTAACGAGAAAAACTAAAAAAACAAAACCAAATAGTCTAGTGGTACCTTCAACACGAAATAGTTACAAGAGGCTGATACAAACTGCTTGCACCTTCATTGGTTGGTTGGTGGGTTAAGTCATTCCCGTGTGGAAGATAGAGTGGGAGCCAGTCAATATCCAGATTCATCCCATTTGCAGAAGAATTACATCTGTGAATGAAGTTCAGTTCCAACCCTTCTCTGAGCCAAAATAGTGGTGGATACAGTGCAAAGAGAAGAGGGGAAAAAGTTGTTGAGCAAAAAAAGAAAAAAAAAAAAGGTGGCCACAGCCCTTTTAAGAACAGAGCAGGCATTGCCCTTTTAAGGGTGGCCATGTTGAAGTCTGTACCAGTGTCCTATGCAGACCGAAACAGGTGTGGCGTCTGTACCAGTGTCCCATGCAGACCGAAACAGGTGTGGCTGCTGGGAGCTCCCATTGGCTGCAGATCACCCTTCCCGGCCAATGGGAGCTGCGGGAAGCAGTAGCCCACCCTGGGCCATTTCCCACGGCTCCCAGTGGCCAGGGATGGCAAACTACGGCAAACGGGAGCTGGGAGCGGCTGGACCTGGGAACGCACAGGGCACTAAAGTGTCCAGATGCCCACCCAGGGTTTCCCCTGGCAAACCGGGTCCAGCCCAAGGACCAATCACTACCCAGCCCTGGGAGAGATAGATAGATAGAGGGGGTGTGTGGAGATAGCCTGGGATAGATAGATAGATAGATAGATAGATAGATAGATAGATAGATAGATAGATAGAGGGGGTGTGTGGGGATAGATAGAGGGGGGTGTGGGGATAGATAGATAGATAGATAGATAGATAGATAGATAGATAGGGTGGGTGGGGATATCTAGCTAGATCCATGGATCCATTGACTGCAGGGTTACAGTTTGCCATGTAGCTGCTGAGGGTTGGCGCGGTGCCTGGTAACTACCAAAGTTGTGTGTAATTGTCCCGTCTGGTGGTTCTGCCCCTAAACTGTCATCTCAATTCATGGGAGCTTTGCTTTGAAGTGCGGGTGTACCTATGGTTGTGTTGTTAGTGCGTGTGTGTGTGTGTGCGTGTGCGTGTGTGTGTGTATGTTGGTTGTGAAGCGCCCCCAGAGCCGCTGGGGCCGTGTGCGACGGGGGATGGGACTCACTCCCTATCACTGTTCCCAGCCAAGAGCCCGTCTCTGTGGCTTTCTTCGCGCTCGCGGCCTGGCCCCGCTGCCGGGGACGCCCTCTGCAATCGTCCCGCTGGCCCCACGGAAGCTGGACGGAGCCGAAAGTTGCAGAGCGAGGCCGGGATCCGGACAGCCCTTATTTCGGGGGCGTTGTTCTCTTGGGGAGAATAGGCCTTTGTTCTCTGTCACTGGGCTGGAAAATCGAGTCTGCTCTGTGCTGGTTGTGAAGCGCCCCCAGAGCCGCTGGGGCCGTGTGCGACGGGGGATGGGACTCACTCCCTATCACTGTTCCCAGCCAAGAGCCCGTCTCTGTGGCTTTCTTCGCGCTCGCGGCCTGGCCCCGCTGCCGGGGACGCCCTCTGCAATCGTCCCGCTGGCCCCACGGAAGCTGGACGGAGCCGAAAGTTGCAGAGCGAGGCCGGGATCCGGACAGCCCTTATTTCGGGGGCGTTGTTCTCTTGGGGGGTCGTCCCACCCGGGTCTTTGAGGCTAGGGAGGATCGGGGGGCAAGTCCTTGGAGGACGCCTGAGCTCCCCCCACCAGTCCCGCGGCCGAGCGTGGGAACGGCCTCACCTGTGGGTGCTCGGCAGGCGCATGGCGCCCAGCTCCGCGTACCAGTCGTCCGTCTCGTCGCGATGGGTCAGGATGCGGCCGCCCACCCGGCTGCTGATTTCCAGGACGGTCACCTTGGGGAGAAGACGGCCCGTCACTCAGCCGGCCCGGCCCAAGGGTCGGAGCGAAGAAGTGAACTCGGCAGCGATAGCGGGGGGAGTTACGCTCACGGCGGCAGGCGGAAGAGAGCCGGGGACCTCGAGTTTAGTACCCAAGCCGGCACGGAGCCCTTGCCTGGCTCCGGCACAGAACCACAGAAAGGAAGGGACCTTGAGGGGATATTCAGTCCCGTCCCCGGCCCTCCCGGCAGGACCCAGCACCGTCCAGACCATCCCTGGCAGGTCTGTCCAACCTGCTCTTCCATGTCTCCTGGGTTGGAGACTCCACAACCCCCCTAGGAAATTCAGTCCAGTGTCCCCCCCCCTCAGAGTTAGGAAGTTTGTCCTCATGTCCAAACTCAACCTCCCTTGCTGCATAGTAAGCCCATGGCTTGTCGTCCTGTCCTCAAGGAGAACAATTTTTGTCCCTCCTCCTTGTGACACCCTTTTAGGTACGTGAAAACGGCTCCCCTGTCCCCTCTCCGTCTGCTCCTTTCCAAACTAAACCAGCCCAATTCTTTCCGTCTCCCCTGCTAGCTCGTGTTTCTTAGGGATTTTTGTTGCTCTTCTCTGGACTGTCTCCTATTTCTCCACATCCTCCATGAAATACGGCACCCAGAACGGGACACACGCCGCCAACCAAGGCCTGATGAGCGCAGAGCAGAGCGGAAGAACGACGCCTCGGCGTTGTCGGCACTGCCGGTGTCTCGCGCAAGAAGCGTTTGGCGGGAGAGATCTTCCTCAAAAACGTCTTGCGCAAGAGCGCGTCTGCCCAGCCAACGCGCGTCGGAAAAGCGATGCGCTTTTGTGCAAGAGAACGTCCAGGCACTTTCAAAAGGAAACTCGCATCGCTACTTCCAGAATGGCCACTTGTGTTTTTTCCTCCTCCCTCTTCTCCCGAAAAAACTCCCTCTCCCCCATCCACGCACGCCTGTTTCCGAAAGAGCGTTTTCGCCAAAAGTCTTCCTCCTCGTAGAAAGAGGGTTCCCAATGGTGCAAGACCCCCTCTGCTCTTTCGATGGGCTGTCGATTTACTGGCGAAAGATCATGTGGACGCTCGGTGCGTTTTTGCGTGAAAATGGATGTTTTCCCGCAAAAACGCTGCTGGGTAGACATGGGCTGCCGATTTACTGGCGAAAGATCGTGTGGACGCTCAGTGCGTTTTTGCGTGAAAACAGCCATTTTCCCGCAAAAACGCTGCTGGGTAGACACAGCCCTCGTGCCCTGGGGAACGTGTTACCTTGTGACCGGCGTCTCGGAGCAGCTTGGCCGCCGCGAGGCCGCTGATCCCCGCCCCCACGATGACCACCTCCGCTGGACGCTCCGCCTTCGGGAGCCCGTGGGTCACAATCCCCACCAGCTCCTCGTAGTCATGGTCATGCAGGCAGGGGGCGGGGTCGAAGGCGAGGCTCTCGGGGTGCAGGACGGCCGCGAGGAGGAGCAGCCGGGCCAGCGCTGGGGGCGGAGGGGGAAAGAGAAACGAGGGGCCGTCAGTGAAGCCAACGCACACGCCTGAGCCCCGAGGGCATCGCTGGAACCGGCAGAACCCAGACCCACATGAAGGGGGGCAGGGAAGCCGGCAGAGCAAACCCAGCTCCTCGCCGCACGCGGGCACAGAGAAGGTGAGTGTGAGGTTTGTCGGCCGTGTCCAATTGGAGTAGACAGCCCTGCGCACCCTCTGGACAAACGCTGGTACCCGCAGCGCGAGGGGATGCGGGGAGGGGGGATCCCTCGCATGTTGGCAGCCAGTTGAAAATAAACGAAAGGAAGTTTTTCTTCACTCAGTGCACAGTCAACCTGTGGAACTCCTCGCCAGGGGATGTGCTGAAGGGCAGGACTTTACCAGGGTTCATAAAAGAGCTGGGTAGATCCATGGAGGTTAGTCCAGCAATGGCTATTAGCCAGGATGGGTAGCAATGGTGTCCCTAGACTCTGTTTCTCTGGAGGCGGGTGACAGGGGAAGGATCGCGTTGGGATTAGGGGTTCTGTTCCCTCCCTCTGGGGCCCCTGGCATTGGTCTCTGTGGGCAGACAGGACACCGGGTTAGACGGACCTTTGGCCTGACCCCATCCGGCCGTTCTTAGTTCTTATGTTCTTAAAAAGAGAGCAAGACGCAAAACGAGAAAGCCGCAGCGGAGGGACCCACGCCACCCTGTCGACCCGCCGCCCAGCCCCAACGCCATTCTCCCCGCGCGGCCGTTTCACTTACAGAATCGGTCCATGTTTCCACCGGCAGCCTGAGTCCCGGAGTGAGCGCTTGGAATTTATAGCCTGACCCACAAAAAGAAATTTCCTCCCCGGTAGTGGCTGCCACATGCTGAGGGCGACAGAATTAATTTCTAGGGGGAAATGAATGTCCTGTCTTTTGCAACTCTGTGCATCTTCCGCACACTTAGGTCAGGAGACACCCAGTGTCAGGAACCCAGGGGGACCACCCTTAGGTCAGGAGACACCCAGTGTCGGGAACCCGTGGGGCTTTTTCTTTCGGGAAAGTCCCTTATATGTATCCATCCTGGTCCTACCTGGATCTGTCTTCCTCTCTGCAGAGACGGTGCGGTGGCTACTTCTGCAACATGGCCAAACTTCTGAGCCTTTTTCTGCTGATTGCCCCCTTACCTCTGAAGAACTCTGGAAGGCAGCGTGGTTGAGCAGTTCCCACCCCATGAGAACGAGGGTGTCATGCATAGGCGGCAGGTTGAAAACAAACCCAAGGCCGTTTTTCTTCACACTGCGCACTGCCAACCTGTGGAACTCCTCGCCGGAGGACGGGGTGCAGGCCAGGACTTGAACAGGGTTCAAAAAAGAGCTAGGGACATTCACAGAGGGTCCATCGATGGCTACTAGCCAGGATGGGCAGGGATGTCACCTGTATGTGTTACGTTTCTTACTGGGACCGGTTGTGGTCTCGTCCCACTTTGCATAAGCTCTATTTTGAGGACTAAAGATCCGTGCCCGGCTCCAATCGGCCAACTGGCCTCCCTGTTTCCCGAGAAGCGCCTGTGTGCTTTGCTCCCCTTCCGGGGTTGGTAGCAACCCCTCCGAAACATCCACCAGGCTACTTCCTTCTCCTCCATGAAAATCTCCTTCGTGGGAATGCCTTTGAACAGCTGAGCTGGAGGGCTGACGGCAGCCTGCCACACTACCCACTTCCCTTATTGTCATGTGCTTCCCCCGGCTGTCTGGGTGCAGGCGTCTCGCGCCTCGGCTCTCGTGCTGAGATGGGGAGTTCTGTGTGGGAAGGGCTAATTCTGTAATACGGCCAAGCCTCTCCGGATCTTTCTTTCGATTCCCCCCCCCCACATCAGAAGAACTCTGTGGAAGGCAGCGTGGTTGAGCTGTTCCCACCCCGTTAGGACGAGGGGTCTCCCCACGAATAGGCAGCAGGTTGAAACCAAACCCAAGGCCGGTTTCTCTTCACGCTGCTCACCGCCAACCTGTGGAACTCCTCGCCGGAGGATGGGTGCAGGCCAGGCTTGAACAGGGTTCAAAGAGGGACTGGAAACATTCACAGAGGGTCCATCATCCACAGGACTCTGACTCTCTCAGTTCCGTACGGTGTCCCCCATCTCTTCCCGGCCCTTCCGCACCCTGAGCCTCCCAGCCCCCGTGGGGCCCCCTGAGGGAACCCACTCGCTCTGGACCCCCGGGGCTCCGGCAGAGGAAGCAGCACCACCCCGATCTCTAGACAGGCGTGCCTGTGGGAAACAAAGAAGGCTGATTCCATCTCTGAACACAGCCCCGGAAAGTCTCTAGGGTGGCCTCTCCGGCATCCAAGAAGGCTCTGGCTACTCTCTCCGCCATGTCCACATGACCCCTCCATCCAGCAGGGTATCTGATAGCGCTGTCCCTCCGTCCTTTGTCTTCTGTCCTGGGTAAACGGGCCACCCGGGCCTCGGCTCCTCCGTCCTGTGTTCCCCACAGACGGGCGCCAGCTGGTCAGGTCACCCCGAGTCCTCTTTCTGCCTCCCGTTGGCCTCGAACTGGCCATGTCTTCCCAGCTGGGCCCCCTGGTCACCAGGTCGCCAATGGCTGGGGTCTCCACCAATGGCAGTCTGGGGGCTGTAAGGAGCCCCGGATTTGAGCAATTCGCCCTGAGCGGAAGCCCTCAGCTGTGCCCAGACACAACGTACTTCCCCACGGAGTCATACTCGGCCTCCCTCTCCTCGTCCAGTGAGCGCTGCCATGCCCGGGGAAACCGAGGCACGCACACCCAGTGTCATTACAGAACAACACAGGACAGCAGGAACCGCACACAGCCCCACGAAACAACCAGTGCATGCAAAACCAGAGGCAACGTCGTCACGGCGAGCTTCTCCCGCAGAAACTAGGCTAACGAAGGACTCGTTTGCATGAGTGGCGATCTCATTTGCATCTTTGCTGCCAATCCATTTTGGCGCGAGGGGTTTTTGCGCAAAATCCAAGCCTCCTGGATGTTTTCTTTCTGCGCAAAAAACTCCCTTTTTCTGCAAAACCGGTAGATCTCCCCTTTGGGGTCTTGCGGAAACAGGAGGATTTTGCACAAACAGGAAACGTCCACCCGGCTTGTTTTTGCTCAAAAATCCCCAGCGCACAAACGGATCGGCAGCAAATATGCAAATGAGATTGCGACGCATGCAAACGAGTCCCTCATTAGCATATTTCCCCCTGCAAAAACACGTAGCATAGCTGTTGCCGGACAGCGAAGCGGAAGAGGCCTGAAAACATCCACTCAGGTCCGTCAAAAGAGCAAGCAGACTGTGGGGAATCATTTCAACAGGGATAGAGAATCAAGGCAGCACATGTCGACCCTGTGGCGCTATTTCGGGAGACTTCCAGTGTCCCGAAATACCGTATTCCGCCTCTTTGTCATAAGCCCGTTATTTGGAATTATCTTTCGAAATAACGGCTTGGCTATTCCAAGTGGTAGAAATAAACTCAAAACGGGTGTTTGTTGTACAGCCTGAAATGGATGATTTTGTTTTAAAGCTATAACTTTTGAGAATCCATTTTGTATAAAGGGGCCCATTTACTGAAAACCCCCTGAAAGAGGTATGGTAGACACTCGGGGGAAGGAAAAACCCCTCAAAATGTTTTGTTTTTTAAATAAAAGGGAAAAATTACCTCCCCCCCCCCGGGCGGTTTTATTAGACATGAATTCAATGGTTTCACCGCACCTCACTGAATAGCCAGGGGGCGCTAGTCAGTGGTTAGGTTTAGGTGTGACCACTTACCCTTGTTGAGGTTAATGTTCAGTAATTAAATTTGATGGGTTGGATGGGTGGGCTCTGATGAATATCTAATTAAATAACACCTCAGGAGTTTGCAGATGCTATTGGACAGTTTAAATATAACCCCTGGGGTTGGTAGAGCGCTATTGGACAGTTTAAATATAACCCCTGGGGTTGGTAGAGCGCTATTGGACAGTTTAAATATAACACCTGGGGTTGGTAGAGCGCTATTGGACAGTTTAAATATAACCCCTGGGGCTGGTAGAGCGCTATTGGACAGTTTAAAGGACACAGGCGTTGGTAGAATGCTATGGGCTACTTTTTCTAGCCATTGAAAGTTAAAAACAAAAAATGAAGGGTCTAACCCCAAACTGAAATGTTTCCAACTTTTACCCATACTTTAGAACGAGCATTTGCTCTAAAGCCAATCAAACATTTAAAAGCATTTTATTTAAACCCCAAGCCTTAAGCCTGAAAGAAGCGTGTTAAAAAAAACAAACCCCAAGACACGTATTGTTATCTGCAAAGGGACTCCACGTGGAAGTGGGTACAGCTACATTAAGGATTGGTGCTTTTACTGTGACTACTGTAAGAAAGCCCTACAAAAAATGTGTTTTAACTGAAAGAAAAAAATGTAGCCAAAAGCAACTCCCGAAAGGGGGCAATAGCCCCCGG